GCATAGAAACCATTGCCTACATAAAACAGCAGAGATAGCTTCATTCTCAAAACTGGGCATTATTAAAATGTCAAAATAAATATCATGCAGAAATACAGCAAAGAGATACAATAGATACAGGCAACATAGATGGGTACCTCTGAAAATCAAACCCAGAAGTTCAAAAGCTGCTTTGGACAAAACAAGAGTTTGGTGGTGCCAATTGGTCCTAGTGGAGATTGTTTTCTTTCTTAGATTTGTCTACAGTACATCACAGAAAGTTATTAAGTGTCTGCTTTCACAAGGCATGACTCTTTTTCATAAGTGCTTAAATTCACTAAACAAGGAAAAACAGGCACTATATAAACAGAGTCATTAATAATATAAATCTCACCTAGAGTAAAAGAATAATATGGCCTGTCTCGTTGTTCTGCATAAATAGTGATTTCCATGGCTTTCCATTTGTCCTTTCTATGGATTTTTCTCCTTTGGTACATCTCATCTTTCATTTTCCTCTCAGTGCTTCTTCAGAGGGCTTAATGCAACCAACTTTGAGGAAATCAGCTAATACTACCTCCATCTGTCAGCTGGCCTAGCTAGCCACCACTACCCACCCCTGCAACCACCACCATAGGACTTTTTATCCCTGCCAGCAAGACCTGAACTCTTAATCTCTTAGTCTTTGCAAGGAGGTCATTAAATTTGCCTTCTAGCTTCAGTGCATGGCATGAGAATCATTAATATGCACGTTATCCAACAGGTTATTTATTCCAGGGTTTGTTGTGAAATTGCCTCGTTGGAATCTGACTGTTTTCTTTCAAGAGCATTTTCTGGCAGTTTTCCATCGCCTTTGTTTTTAACCTAGGAATGGGGTGTGGTTCTAGAAGTCAATAGCTATTTTAGTATCATTTCAGGAAAAATTTCCTTCACCTCCTCACACTCCTCCATACTCTCTACATCACAAAGAAAAATATTTCCCAATTTCTCTTTGATCTGCAGAACCCTATTAAAAGTAAACGGGCAGTTTATGAAATTGAAGAATTGTAACTACAAAGCTTGTGAGGGATGGAAAATCATTGGGAGATGGGGTGGGGGCTCAGGCAATGTCAAGAAAAGAGAAATGAATAAGTCAGGCAAAAAACCATGGTGAGACACAAACACCCCCCAAGTTCTCCACTGCATTTAGAAGAGAGTCAAAATCTTTTTCATTAAAATCCTTTGCAAGTTTACACTCTGATTTTTTTTTTTTTTTTTAACCATCAAAGCCACTGCAAGTTTGCAGGCAGGTTGGCCTTCTTGGTGGGCACCTGATCCTCCCTCACCTGTCACCTATATAGAGAAAACCATCTCTTCTGGTTCTCCCCCCAGCCCCCATGCTGAATTCCAGTTTCCAACATCAGACCCAGAACTCACTCACACACACTGGGAAGATTCATCTAAATCCACTTCTCCTACATATCTGCTCATGTATATAAGCAAAAAAAAATGATACTGACTCTAGGTTTTCTGTATTTTCGTGTACTCGACTGTGAGTTCCTTGAAGCAAGTACTGGCCCTTTTTTCCCTACCCCTGCTTCATGGTACCTAGAATCCTTTAGCCATTTAAAGAACATCTGTGAGCTTGAATTGGCCCTTGCAGAAAAGCAGGTACATTCCAGGGGGGAAAAAAAACAATAAAAAAAGGGGGAGAAAGAGAGAGAGAGAAAGAAACATGATTAATGACCCAACGATCCTACCAGATGGAAGTGTTTTTAGCTGTTGAAGCAAAGGCAATCCAAGGCCAAGCGTATTGGAATCATGCTAAGGAATGTAAGTTCCTAAAGAAAACTTACTCATCCTACAAATTTGCTAGCCCTACTAAAATAGGCTTCAAGGCACAAGTTTTAGTTTTTTCTTGAAAGTGTGAAAGTAGAAACAAAGAATAATGGCTCCCCAAAGACGTCCACACCTTACTCCCCAGATCCTGTGAATACATTACCTGTGGAGATGTTGATTAAGGCTATAGATCTTGAAACGGGAAGAGGAGCAGGAGTTACCCAGGTGGGCCCAATCTAATCGTATAAGCCCTTAGAAGCAAAGGATCTTTGCCAGCCTTAGTCATGGAGAGAGAAATGTGACAACAGAAGAAAGGCAGAGAGATGCGGCCTTGCTGGCTTTAAAGAGGGGGGATGGGCCAGGCGCGGTGGCTCACGCCTGTAATCCTAGCACTCTGGGAGGCCGAGGCGGGCGGATTGTTTGAGCTCAGGAGTTCAAAACCAGCCTGAGCAAGAGCGAGACCCCGTCTCTACTAAAAATACAAAGAAATTAATTGGACAACTAAAAATATATAGAAAAATTAGCCGGGCATGGTGGCGCATGTCTGTAGTCCCAGCTACTCGGGAGGCTAAGGCAGGAGGATCGCTTGAGCCCAGGAGTTTGAGGTTGCTGTGAGCTAAGATGACGCCACGGCACTGTAGCCTGGGCAACACAGTGAGACTCTGTCTCAAAAAAAAAAAAGAGGGGGGATGAAAGCCATGAGCCAAGGAATGCGGGAGCCTCCAGAAGGAGGAAACAGCAACAAAACAGATGCTCTCCCAGAGCCTCCAGAAAGAAACTCAGTCCTGCCAACCCAGAGAGACTTTGTATTCTGACTGAAACTCTTCTTCTATTCCTCCCTTTCCCTCTTCTCCACTTGTCTAACTTTTTCTCTTCTTTTGAGATTCAGCACGAATTTTCTTTCTTTTCTGAAAAAAACCTTAGCTTTATCTATACAGGCTATACATTTCCAAAAAGTGAGGAGGACTATGTCATATTCTTCATAAATGTAATTTGAATGATGGGATTAATTCATAATTTGATGCAGTGTGAAAGGACAATAAAACTGCTTTCTTGTCACTTTTGAAAAAGGAAAGATTAAGAGCACTCACTAGGATCCACCTACATTCACATCCATAAACTCTGACCTATTCCTTCTCCTCCTCTGAGCACATGTGTGCACACGCACATGCACACGTCAGCTCCACACAGAACCTGGCAGTTGAATCCCAGTTTGCGGCTGTTCTGAGTCATACAAGTAAGCAACATATCTTGCTCCCTGGTCAAGGGTACAGCTGTAGAGAGTCAAAGACTGAAATGCAAAAATTTCAAAGGAAATTCAAAAGGCACAGAAAAGTTTCCAAAACAAGGACTTTAAAACCAGAGCCAAGGTTAAGAACTAAATAACAGGGCCCATGGTGTGATGGTTTTAAAATATGTCCACAAATACTTTGACACTTTTTCTTCCAAAAGATGGAAGCTAATTCCTCTCTCCTTGAGTGTGGGCCAAAGTGAGTCTCCTCTAATGAACAGAATATGGCCAACGCGGACAGCATTGGATCAAGTCACGAAAGGCATTACAACTTCCTCCTTGCTCTCGCTCTCTCCCTCTGTCTCTCTCATCACTTGCTGTGGAGGAGGCCAGTGGCCATGTCATAAGGACACTCAAACAGTCCATGGAGAAGCCCATGTGGTGAGGAACGGAGGCCTCCTGACAACAGCCACGTGAGTGAGCCTTCCTGCAAGCAGACTCCCGAACCCTCCAACAACCACAGGCCTGGCCAACACCTCGACTACAACCTCATGAGAGGCCCTGAGCCAGCACCACTCAGAAAACTGCTCTCAAATTTTCACATAGAAACTATGTTTTAAACCACTAAGTTTTGAGATAATTTGCTATATCCTGAAAGATAGCCAATGCACATGAGATCCAGATTCAGTCTACAAATATATTTTCTTCAGCTCATAATGGTGGGATGCTTTTAATGAGCCAAAATTTTAAAATCATTAAATTTCATTTAAAAATATAGATTGCTAGTCTCTCTCAAAACTTGGGGCGATCTGGCAAGACAAAGCTCTGCATCCCATCTGGCAAAACTTCACGGCTGAGAACCAGCATTCCACTGCACTAGAGGTACATTCTCTCAGTCCACCACGGTGCCCTGTGCATCTCCATACTGACACTAGGGTCACTGCCATTTAGATGGTTTGCTGTTTATCTTTCAGTACAGAAATATTTCTCAGTTCCTATATCTCTATCAAAAATAAGTAGGAAACAAAAGATACACTGAAAGAGCTGTGTGTTTTAAGAAATCTAGAGAAAACTTATTTCTTGGTGGAAGTGAAGAATATTCCTGAATATCTAATATGTCACTGACGTGTATCTGTGCCACATACATACAATTTAAGATCCCCTTTTTCTTTTCATGGTGGTTTTGCTCATTAGGCTAATTGACTGGTATCTGTAGGTTAGAGAGCTTGCTAAACTTGCTTTCTTTCCCAGGGATCTTTGAAATGGGGCTAAGGTAAGGCATGTGAACGTGCTAGATCTGGCTCTTCTGCATCTTAAAGGTGCCAGCCAGCATTACACCTTTCCTCTCACATTGCTTGTTTTGAGAAGAATCTCAGTTTGGGAAAGATAACACAACATCTATTAAATTGGGGGAGGGGGTGCACTTAGAATAATTGTTGAGCCTGAGTTTCTTATTGCTGACTCAAATTATATCTGACCACAACCATACAGACAAACCAAAGAGATAATCCCAGCTACAACCCCTACTTTATCATAAATGTACACTATTACTAATATTTCTATGGAAGTCAGCAAACTACAGCACAAATCCAACCCACCACCAGCTTTTGTAAATAAAGTTTTATTGGAACACAGCCAAACTCATTCATTTATGTATTGTCTAAGGCTGCTTTTGTACCACAGTGGCTGAGCTGAGTAATTGTGACAAAGACCTTATGACCCACAAACCTAATGTATTTACTATCTAGCCCTTTATATCTAGCTAAACCCTGAACAAGAAGGATAAAATATAAATGTTTTGATGGTCAAGAAGCCAAGAACTCAGTGTGCTTCAAAAGAACACAACATGAAAGAGGGTAAAATCACCATGTTCTCTCTAGAACATTTGTCTATAATTCATAGTCAGTAACTCTGAAGCTTCTTACCTTACAAATGGATATAAATAGAATAGTTTTTAAGTTGAAAATGAACTCACTGTGGCTAATTTCTGAACATCTTCATCTGATGCTCCCAGGGATGCCAGACCTATTTCTTGTGAAAATTGTGCAAATTTAGGATCCGCAAGCAGTGGAACATGTCCCAAGAGTTCATGGCATGTGTCTCTGACAAAAAAAACAATGATAATAATCATAAAGACATGTTATACAAGAAGCTTTAAACTACCATTGGTAGAACAAGACTTAATATCCTAAATATAACCTTGTTACTGTAATTAATTAGTTACCATATGTTATCAATTCTAAGACTTTTTAATCATACTTTAACATCTCTGAAATCCATCTGCATCTTACAAGCAATAGCATATCATTAGATGATATATAATATTTTAATAAAATAATAGCAACTACTATTTTTAAGTGCTTACTTCCTATATGCCAAGCACATAGTGTCTTATTATACACATTATGTCTTTTAATCCTCAAAACAATCTTAGAGAATGAAAGCAACTTATTATTACAAGATCTTATAGATCAGAGGTAGGAAAACTACAGCCATGGTCCAGATCTGGCCCACTGCCTGCTTTTGTAAATAAAGTTTTATCAGAACACAGCCATGCCCATTCATTTATGTATTATCTATGGCTGCTTTTGACTATCACTGCTGAGTTAAGAAGTTGTGACTGAGATCATATGGCCCACAAAGCCTAAAATAATTACTAGTTGCCCTTTTACAAAAAAAGTTTGCTGATTCTTGCCATAGATAGTAATGAAGCCAAAATTGGAATCCAGGTTGTCATGATTTTTAAACTCTTGCTCTTCTTAACCCTTAAGTTGCGCTGCAACCCTGTTACACTTTGCCAGGCACTGGGAAATAGCGGAGGATCCTATTCTATCATCAAAGTAGCTTTTCCCATACATAATTTATCCACTCTGACATAAGCAACTCCCTTGAGACAGCACATTGGAATAATCTCCCAGTTCTCTGCTTTGGTTAGCCTGAAGTAGTTAATAACAGAAGCTTGGGACCTCTCTCATTTGCTTGAGCTTCCATTTGGAGCCAAATAAGTGGGCAAAAGACAGGTATGTGTCACAACAAAACGAGGCAGATGCCTTCCCGAGTCATTGCCGTGAATAATGAACTGTTCCATGACACCAAGCTGTAATGGAAGGAATTCCCCTATGACTCTCTGGGAATGGATCGAGATATAGCAACATTTTATTTTCTTGGCAAAAAACTAATTAGCCAGGCAGTAATTGGAAGATGTTTTTGATTTCATCTGTACTTCTCTGAAGTGCATCACTTCAAATAGACGCTATAATCTACATGCCAGGTCCTACCACCATTATCACAAGTATGAAGTAAGTCGGATGGTCTTATGGTTGAAGCACATGAATGATGGTCAAGGGCACAAGGTCAATGCCCACATAACAGATGGCATCACTCGATCACAAAACTTGTTCCCACAACTCAAACCACATCCCAGCCTTGGCCAGCCACTTCACAGACACATCAGGTTGAAAGGGCAGCCAAGTGAGACTACGTGAATAGGATACTAAAAGAAACTCCAAATTCATCCCTTATCAGCTGTTTGCCAATAACTTCCTTTTTTGCACATAAACTGAATTTGTAAAAAAAAAAAAAGAAGAAGAATATGATGTGGCTACTCTTTAATCACATTGCTTAATGCAAAGAATCAAATTCACTACATTTTCAGGCATAAGAGGTATTTAAATGTTATCTAAGCCCCTCATTTTACAAAAGAAGAAATGAAAAACAAAGGAGAGAGAGAGAGGAAGAAGAGGGGGGAAGAGGGATAGAGGAAAAGAGAGAGAGAAAGAAAGAGAAGAAGAGAAAGAGAGAAACAAAAGGAAGGAAGGAAGAAAAAGAAAATATACTGAGCTCCTACTATGCACTGGGTACTGTACTACATGTTTTCATATCACATTAGTAGTTTGATCTTCTTTTACAAGGAAGCTTTATTATTCAAATTTAGCAAATGAGGAAACCAAAATTCAGTAAATTTAAGAATCTTTTCCAAGATCACACTTTTCATAAGGACAGAGGAAAGATTTGCCTCCATTGTTATGTTCTTTCTGCTCTCTGTTTTAATTTTCAGGTATGATGTGAGTAAGAAAAGGGAGGGGGTGTGCATGGCTTCGGCTGTAAGAAAAGACTTTAACCAAGTTGGTTGCGCACAAGTCAAAATGTAGTTACTATATCCTAAGTCTCTTTTCCTGCCACTCAGTGGTTCTCAACCTTCCAAATCACTTGAGAAGCCTTTTTAAAAATATCAAACGGCTATGCCCTACCTGTGACAAATTCAATCAGGCTCTCGGAGATGAATCTGAGCATCTTTTTTTTTTTTTTTTTTTTAACTCTCCAGGTACTAAGAAGACATAGCCCAGGTTGAGACCCACTGTCATAACCGATAACCCTAGGAGCTCTCCTAGCAGGCTTCATGAAACTAGTACTTAAAACCAAAAGTGAATGTGATTATGTAATTTTGAGCCACCCAAGTTTAATTCCACTAAAATTTCATCATGGTACTGGATGATAATGAAAGGTGCTGACCAAAAGGTAAATAGGTAACTAATTACTCCTCCACTTGCATTTGATTCAGTTACTGGTCCAATACTTCCATATGGGGATGGACTCTATAGATGCACTATTGTGATCAAATTTTTAAAAGATCATGTAGCCTGTACCAATGTTAGAATTAAGAACATGTGGCCCACCATGGAAAAATATGAATACCCCCATTGTAGCCATAATTCCAAATTCGACCATGTATGAAACTCCAGGAAGTACTAAAGACAGTAAGTATTAGCTCATAATATGAATAAACAAAGTGAGCAGAAAATAAAATAACAATTATCATAAATGCTTACTATGAGCCAGGCACTGTGCTAAATGGTTCATAATGTAAGAAGAGTATAGAGTAAGTTGCGGCTACAGCTATTAAATTCTTGGTGCAATACTAGATTTACTTTTGAGCTTGCTAAATGCTTGAAGAAGGCTGATGCAGAAGAGTCTTCTATCTACCTAGTTACTAACAGAGTCCAAAAACTTATTAATGGAAGGTAAAATGAAAAGTTGGCAATTAAAAAGGAAAAAGGAAGGAAAATACTAGAGATCCAAAGACATTAAGGTGTCAATTCTCCATGGTAGAAAAGGAGCCATCAGCTGAGTTTCAAATTAGGATGTCATTATCATAAACCTGTAACTCACTAGCCAACTTAAGAACCTTTAATAGCATTACAATGACAAAGTAATCTAACTATACATAGAAGAAGACAATTTATAAATTCGGAAGAAAAAATCATACAATACAGAAAAGTAAGTTACATCGTTTCATTTTGAATGAAAGCCTGAAGCAAGATGTCTAACAGAATTATTAATGGAACCTTAGGGATGCCCTTTGCTCTGTTATAGTAGACATGATCACATTGTATTTCTCTAGTTTCTGCCCTTCCCTTCTCTCAGATCCATCTCCATGCAGAGACCCCGAAAAACAATTCTCAAGATTCCTAAACAAAGTATGGATGCAGTATGTGTAATAACCTCACTTCTCATGGGACCAAGGCTTTAAGCACCTATATTTCAAGGCCAGGAACAAGGTTATTATCTTTTATATCTTTAGTGGAACATCTCAGAAATAAACACTGCGTTGTTCTCTAGCACACTGTCTTTGGCTAAGGCACATGTAGACAAAGGAAACTTAAGTGCCTGGAAACTCTTCAACCAAAGAGTAAAGAAAGATATTTAATGTTGCTAATAAAAGCAATTAATTAACTTTTCTTTAGTTTCTCTGAGACCAAAGGACTTACAACCTGAGTTGACCACCACTCTTTGGGGCTAGGAGAGGTTCCAGGCTATGAGGAGTCTGAGGGAGAAGGCAGACCACAAAGACTTGCCTCCAGCCTCTGAACCAATTAAGGTCTGTTGGGCTGAAATGACGCTATTAAACCCTATTTTGCAAAGTACAAATCCCACTGCTGCTATGTTCTGCACGTAGAGTAGTTTGAGATCCCTACATTGGTTGTATCATTCACAGCTTGACCCTTGAGTATATAATTATGAACAGGTTTTCAATGTGAGTCCATGACTATTGCCTTATCTCGCCAGATCTCTCCTAAAAGATTCAATTATTTGGCCATAATTGCACCTGTCAGCACACGCGCCTTCCAATCGCTACATCGGCAAACTTCTCTTTTTAACTCCCATCCCTTTGATGCATTTTCGCCAGAATAATGCTTTTCAGAGCCCTTTTCACAAAAGCGCTCTGTTCGCTGGAAATGTAAGACCTTTCAAAACTGTTAACACTATAAAACATCATGTCTCCATTGAAAAAAAAAAAGTAAGAGCTGATATCAGACACTAAACTTTTGCTGCTCTAAATTGGAATTTTCTCTGATAAGCCCTGTTAGGGGGATTCTAGAGCCTGGGCAAAATGTCTCCAGAGAATTCTTAAATCATTCTAAGAAAGTAGCGATCATTTTGCTGCGGGGAAATAAGGGTCCTGGTTGTTAAGTTCAAATTCAAAATGAGTCTGGCATTTTTCTCCTCTTATCGGTTTTCAAAGCTGACTCCCCTTGCTACGTGTTGAACAACTCCTTTTTATTTTTGCTGTAAATTAAAGCCTGTAAGAGGCATTGAGTGAGCATCCAACATTTGCTTCCCATCCCAAATCAGCGCATCTGTCTTTAAAACATATTTCTATAGGTTTTGTTTGTTCTAAATGACACAGAAGCCAACACTTTAGCTACATCATGAAGAGAAGGGAAGGAAGATGAGTGGGAGGGTGAAGATATTGCATTAATAAAAAGAAACAGGAGGATGAGCTGGGAGCCAAATTAGGATATGTTTTTCAGCTTTCACACACCATTTGGTGGGTCAATGCAAGTAATCTGGGATAACGCACCGGGATGCTTGCAGGTGGGTGACTTAGTTTGTTTTCACTGCATAAGACGGTAACAGGAATTTATTTGGTACTGTGGCAACTTTTTCTCAGGGCTTGCTTTGGAGCCATATACAGAGTCTCTTTAGTTTAGATTTAAAATAGCATACTGTAAAATCTGACCCACATAAGATTTAAGGCAGCTCTTATGATCACTCCCTCTTATATCCCTATCACAGTAGAGATAGATACAAATGTGCCCTT